ATAAAATCCAGCACTCATGACCAGTTGTAATTATTTCAGCCATTGAGAGCTTAGTGGAATAATTATTTAGTAAATAGCTTGATAGATCTTATGATGATGGGAAACAGTAAATATCTCATAAAACTTACACCTAATGGCACACAGACAAGCGTGTCACTTTGGGTCTTAAAGTGGGCTTTACGACAAAGCCATACAACATATATAGATTGGATAGTGGTGACATATTGTTGTAGTCTCCAACTTTTTTGTAGACAGTGTTTTGTAGTTGATGTTCGGTGATTGGTGTCGGCTGTTGGTATCTGTAACAAATGGCAGGCGGTGACATTTTGCATGTTAATGCATTGTTCAGACTTATTAAAAGAATTTCAATTTCAATTTTGTACTGATATTATTTCAGTTAATATGAAATTATCCCATATATGTGGAATAAGAGAAATTAATAAAATGAACTACAGTAGTATGTAATTGGTTAATGAAAACACAATGAAATTCTGTAATTAAAAATCTTGCAATTTTGAAGAAAAATGGTCAAATACAACTGTTGGATAACACGAAGAGTCAAATACATTCAGCCAAGAGAAGGTTTTGCTATACCTTTTTGCTGAACAAACAGAACCCTTGACATCTATTTTATCTTTACATTTGCCTAGAAACTGTCAATATATAAATCATAAAATATATCATCAGTGATACTCTAGTCTCGATACAGCATTTCCAACGACATCACGTCATCTTATCATTCGGCAAGTAGACCTATTTTATGGTTACAAATTACGGTGGTGACTAATACAAGAATATTGCAAAAACTATAAAATGACCTGAGCCTATGTCAAACACTTGATTAGAAATCGTGGAAATTATACCAAGTAAATCATTAATTTGTCCTATATATTCCGTACTTACTGTACTACCAAAGTGAACTCCTTTTTAGTCTTGAGATACATCGATGGATCATGATATATTCAAACAGAGGTCTTGGAATTTTCATGATCATTTTATTTTGAGATTTTATCTCAGGGATATGAATATTATATTAAATAAGACAGTATAGTGTAACATATTTTAGTGTAATACCCTGAGTACCATTGTACTACCCTTGGTACTAAAATATAACATGCTTGGTACTATAGTATTATAAACCTGGGTACCATTGTTACAGCTTGTGTAATATAGTACATTTGTATAATACACTTGGTACTACAGTACAATAGCAAAGGTACCATTTCTAAACTCTGGGTACTATACTATAATTCACTTGGTACTATAGTATAATAGCATGGGTCCCATTTCTAAATTCTGGATACTATTGTATAATATGCTTGGTACTATAGTATAATATGCTTGGTACTATAGTATAATATGCTTGGTACTATAGTATAATTGCCTGGGTACTGTTTCTGAACTCTGGGTATAATGACTTGGATGTTTCAGTAGAATTCCCTTCATACTAAGAATTCTCAAGATGCTAAAACAACAGACACATTTGGGAGTAATCATTTACAATTAGCCCACAGTAGGGGAGGTTATAGCAAACATTGTGGTATGGGGGCAACCTAATAACATAATCTCTTGGTTTGGTGGTTAATTACATACCTAGTTGGACTCCATAGTTTCAATTTAAAGTTGCATCAAGGGAATGATGCTGAATATACCGGATGGGTATAAGAAATAGATAAAGTCATAAAAACTATGAATTTCTATTCCGTATTTCCTATCATTGACATTGTGATTTATTGTTATTAGTCCAGCACCTATATTATTCTGATTGTGGAGAAATACACTATGATTATGGGCAAATATTATGGGCAATAAAATCCTGATGTCAGATTTTGTGTGAGTTTGATTGACCAATAAACTAAGGTTGAAGTGAAATTGATCCATACACATTTAGCACATTTCAGGATTTTGTTCTTTGTTGCCTTTTTTTGTTGTTGGACCTTGATTGTTTTACCAGTTTATGGATTTCTCCGAAATGGAGTCATTGTCATGGTGAAGTGTGTTTTCAAAATATGAATGGCTTGATATTCTAGAGTGTTTTTCGTCACTGGTGGGAAGGTTCTTTTCTTTTGTATTAAGATTATTCATAAGAGAAGAAATTTGATCTTTTGACTCGAATCATATTTTCTTTTCATTTATTTCATTAAAAATATAAAAATAGACAACTAACATAATTGATATAATATATTCTTTACCGAATCATTTAAGTTGAATGAATCAATATTAAACAGAATTTCAACTTCAGTAAAGTGAATTTTCTTGTAAATGAATTAATTTACACTGTTCTTTCATTTAACTTCTTTTGAGGTTTGAATCTTCTCTGAATATAGAATGTGTACTGGCTCCATAATTTTTTATGGTCTCTAAGTTGATGCAGTGATCATGGGCGTCTATGGGAGACCAGTAGGCTGTGACAGCAATGAACAAGTGATATAGGCTTCTACAAATGCTGGACTATCTTCAGTTCATGGAATCTTGGCACTTTTGAATGAGTCAGGTAGCACTTGCAAATTCAACTGCAGGTTGATGGATTAACCTACTATTTTATGGCCAACTCATTTAAATATGAATAGTACCTGTCACCATTCCATTCATGTTTAAATTCGCGTAACTACCTAGAAATAGAAAATAATTTTTTCTTTGTAAAAAATAGGGGTGGGGGAAGATAAGCCTTTGTTTAAAAAAATGTTGTCAAAGCTAACTATCTGCTGGATGGTTATTGTGGCAGTATTTCCAAGTTTTGTAGTAGACCTTTAATGGGCAAGGATGAAAGTTGTGGACATGGATTGTTATGTCCATCTGTCTCATCCATCAATCAAGTATTCCAATATCATGTCACTGGAATGAGAGAATTCACTAGTTTCACTTATCTGCACTACTTAGTTTACCACATTATTTTTTATTGCTCCATTAACAACTATGGAGGGATTTGAACCAAAATTCACAAAATTCAAATTTTTACAAAAATAAACAACATTTGTGCTGTGTTTTTCCCAGAGAATTTTAAACAGCAATAAAGTTGAGTGATTTTGATAGGACAAGATCATGAATTTTATTTCTTTGTGGGTAATAAAGTATGATGATGATGCCCATAGGTATAGTGTCATTGATGAGTAGGTCTCTATGAACCCATTGACCTTTAACAGTTTATTGGAACCAGTGACTGGGGAGTATCCAGGATTTTTGTAGTGAAGGGATAAGGGATGGGGATTAGGCAATACCTAGTTATCCGTTTTTTTTTTAGATTATCGTCTATTAATCATTATACAGAGAGAAAATTGTGCATTGTTAGATCATTATTTTCCTCAAGTATTTTCCTGAATCTGTATGTTATCCTAAACCCACCCTTGGTAAGAGCCTAAGGAAGCTCCTTTCAGTCAGGGCCCAATTTCTCTGTATAAATGTGAGCCGAAGCATAAGATATTTGGGATGACACCAGACTTGACATTATATAGCTTTCATTTAAATCTGAGGCCGATATTATCATTCCATTTACTGGCGTATTATGTTTTTATATGGTTGGATGCACGATATTGTGTTTAGAGAAAACCTATACAATCAATTCAATCCAAATATTCATACATTTATGAATATTTGAAATTAAAATTGGAAAGCTGATTTGTAAAGTAGGATATCAACCTAGTTAGCTGGTAGATATTGAGATAGTGGCAATTGTCAAGCAGGACTGTTTTAAAGTGGAGATTGGGAGATTTATTGAATCCAATGTTTATATATCTATCTGGATTATTTAATTGTTTTCTGCAGCTATCATGGCTACCAACAATTAGGCTATCCAGCTGTCAAAACTCAAGTTGTCAAAATCGAGATTTTGTCAAACTTTGTTTTGATGAAATGGGTCGCACTTAAAAGTATCCATGTTGCCGAGGTCTGAAGGTATGCCATCTAGATGACTTGAACAACACCGTTAATGTTTGAGTAAATGAAATCGAAGCTTAGAATTACACCTCCAAACACATGGTTGTACTAGTGATCTGTTTGAACTGAGAGAGGCTGCATATCCTAGCAACAGATACTAATTTACGACTGAGAGTAAAGGAAGAAGCGGATAGGATTGAAACTGGAAAGTTTTTGATTTTGCTTTGAAAGTTCTTATTACTAGAACAGGCTAATAATGAAGACTTGTATAGGAGTTTTACTTGGGAATGCGGAGTGATACTTTGGCTCATCAATGATGAGATTCACAGCAGCCAACTAGTTTACACATCACAAAAGCAACATGCTGAAAACAGTGATTTATAGACACAATAATTGATCAAACATTGTAACATCGCAAAATTCAACTCCACTATTTAAAACAAAGGATAATAGTTATAGCATGTAACAACTGGAGTCATTATTATTATAATAAGGAATTAAAATGGATTAATATGCAGATTACCTGTAACACATTTCTGCAACAATCCTAACTTTTGATGAATTGTTTGAGTTTAGACTTAGCTTTGTTGATGCTATAAGGTGCCAACTAGAATAAATAATTAAATCTTGTAGACTACTTGAAGAAATAAGCAAAGTTTAGTTGCATATTGAATAGCAGGATAGAATCTTAATTAGCCTTCAAAGGAGAAATTATCCTCTCAAAGAAAACAGTCTGAGAGCACAGTAATTCTACAAGGCTGGTTTACTACAACAACGATAGAGATTTCAGTTGAGACTTGTAACAGGGAAAATTCAGGAACAACATTTTTGGATTATCTCTATAGCGGCTATTGAAAAGTCAGTAAGATTGTGCGGCTACATAAAGGTGCTATTAGCCTAATAGCAATTCTGCATCCCATCAGTCAAGTAGATAATACAGAAAAAATAAAAATACCCAATTCTGAGCGAGATGATGCTGACTTTTATCTGTTATGCACTGAACTGAACTGAATAACATTTAGTTACTAAAGATGATTCTTCAGCTATTAGGTGGACATGCTTTATGGGCAAGGACCAATATGGTTTATAGGGGTTCCTCAAGCACCATGTTAGTTGTGGTCAGAAACATGTATGTGGTATTGTCATTTGGATTGTTGCTGTCAACGGCATGGGCAAATAGAGCAAATGAGCGAAACAGGAATGCAATCACCATCAACTTGCGCCCAGGTTAGTGTCATCTTGATATATCAAGGCATTGTATATGACTGAAGGAATACACTAGTTTAACAGTATGGGTTAGTGAATGATATCTGGTTAGCAATACTAAGTTTGAATCTCATTTTGAATCTCTTTTTTTTCTACTGTGAAGCTACAGTAGGAATAGTGAAAATGAACATCAAGTAGGCGTTTAAAAAACAATTTAAAAGAACATTGAAATGTGAAGTTCCCCATCAATACATCTGTATTATGTTTCAATTAAACATTTTAATTCACTTTTTCAATATTTATTTTTGCCTACTGTAAATTGATTATTGCAAAAGTGGAGTAAGAACTTGATAGGTTTACCTTGATTCACTTTGGTGTGAATTTTGTCATTTCCATTAAATTTAGTATCACATTAGGTTGCAAATAGAAAGATTTATGTTTTTAATTCACTTATCTATTTTAATTATTTAAAAGTATTAATTTAAGTCTAGTGTGCTATATTCAAGTTTTACCATTATGGTGAGTATGAATAGTTCAGTTGTAAAATATAGTATTGCACATGTTTGTAACTGTCAACCTGAATGGTATTAATGGACAACAGCACAGTGGGAATTCCCCTTTGAAAGAGTAACTTCAGTTTGTGGGCGGATCTCTTTGATAAGAATCATGAGTATATCTTGACTTTTTGGCAGTTTTTTACCTGGGATTTACAGTTAACGATCAGTATCTGTGACATGATAAATCACATATGGCAGTTGGTTGTATCTTCGCTTTTTGTTCAGCTTGTTGGTTACCGTTGCCAAGTCAGTAGGCTTACTTTGATGTGTTGATGAATTCGCTTCATGAATTCGCTTCATGAATACATATCATGTTCTGGCTGAAAGATCAGAGCGGTGTTCAGTAACATTATCCAAGTTTTCAAATTTTATGGAACTATTTTCAATGATGGCAGGTTTATCATTTAAATTATCATTCATTGGAATTAATTGTGTATAATTATCAATTATAGTAATCAAAGGAGGTATATGTCCCAAGATGCATCTTGTGTGTTAGCCTTCAATGTAATTTATATGGTAAGATACTCTTTTTGATGGGATGGATGGTTCTCAGTTTTGAAATTTCACTTATGCTTCGATCTTGTACAATTGAATGGTAGATTGAATCTGAATAAGCTGAATCAAAACGACAAGTGATATGTATAACCTGATGTGTAACTTGACATTTCTTAGTTTATTAAAACTTGTAAAAACCACACACAGTTTGAAAACATCTTCAATATTTTCGTGATAGGCCCCTTGGAATGCTTTTATGTGTTATGCAGGCTTATGTTTTGTGCCCAGGGTAAAAGACTTATACACCTCACTACTTAACACATTTTTGTCCTCGGGCATTACATGTATATCACGCAAATGTATTGTACTGATATCATATGTTGTCATCTTTTTGATAAAGGAGATAAAAGACCAACATCTGATCATGAAAAGTGTTTGTCTATGTTGGTGACTATAAATGAAAAAAGAACAGAAATATTTTTGACCAAACCTAGGAAATATAAATTAAAGAGGCATGCACCGATTCCCTGGATTCTGTTTACTATAGAGATCACTGTGTGTCTCTTTAAATAAAGGTACCACATCAAGAAAGGGCAGATTGATCCAGTTCATTGACAGTTTTGTTTAAAAAAGATTTCAGTGCTTTCATGCTGTTTAGGAGTTAATATACTAGTTTGTCAGTTTAAAAAGATTCAGATTGCATATATCCAATACTATGCCGCAGCATGAATTAGTTGTTATATAGTATCTGTTATGCTCCTTTGAGACTGTTCCAAATATAATATCTCACAAACAGATTCAGGTGTTCAATGTTTTCGTTAGAATATATTTGGAATTTTGTTATACGATAGAGGAACTCATCGGCAGGGGTATCTTTTGTTGATGCAAAGCGCGTAGAATATCATAACAACATCTGTGCGTTGCCCTAGACCAGTACAAAAGTAGAATGTATATAGCAATTATAGTTTGCAGATGGGTAAAAGATACACAGTCATCTTGTTCAATGGTCTCCTGGATTGCAGACTATACTCAAAAATTTCATCCCTGTTTCCAACTCTTGCAGTTAACAAATAAAAGTACCATGCAGGGAACTAGGGGAAAAATTAGCAATTTTGGACCTTTAAATCTTTTAATTTGTCTTTGATTACTTTGAGCCATCTTGGCATGCTCGACTGATGTCAGCCGAGTGATTGAAGATGACTTGGATCATCATCATTGATTAGAATTTTCCTTAAGTAGAAAGGTGATATAAGTGTTATCCTATCATCCTAAAATACATGTGTTGTATAAGACAGGCTAGGTCCTCATTGTAAAGTTCAATATGATATCTAGCCCAGTCTTTTCCTTTCCATACACCCTGATTATTACCCTAATGTTTTCATGTGGCTATACACTAGACTTCAGTAAATAAATGTGTGGGTAAAATTAGGCAAAGTTCTCTTTCAAGTCCCGATAAGAAACTATTTACTATAAACAGGTAGAATTGGTTGCATATGTTTTTAGAAATGATGAAGCACTGACTGCTTAGATGTAGGAGCTAGGTGGAAAACTCAAGTGGCATCCTTTAAAACAACTTTCTCTACTTGTATGTAGACTACAAGCATATTGTAATGCTGGAAATCTTATAATGCCCCCTCCCACTGCTAAAATTCACATGTAATACTGAAAATAGCACATCTAAAACATGTAAAATGCCTTCGTATTTGCTTATACATATATTTAATGTTGAAAAATGAGGTTTTAAAGAAGCTGTATTCATAGCAATAAAAGAAATCAAGAATAAAATATTAACATTTTGAAAGCCCATGGAATATCTTATGATGCCCCACCCCCAATATAATTCACTGAACATATTGAATGTTGAAAATGTCTGCTTATGAAATCCATTTGCATATAAACTTATTTTGATAAAGGATTTGATAATACATGAAGTGTAAGAAGTAATAATGTAGATATGAAATGATATAACTTGTTAGAACTTGTTTACTTTCTATTAGCAAAGATATTTGAAGGAAATTGAATATTTGAAATGAAGAAGTCTCTTCTTTTGTAGTTGTCCAACACAGTTGTACTCAGATGCTTGTTTATACTCTTTACTTAAATGATTTCGAAATTATCTTTTTAATGTATTCCCAGTGTTTTTAGATATGGAATGGCCTTATGATAAGTAATATTAAAATTAATAGATTTTTTTTTTCTAATCTTATGAACTTGAATCATACAAAAACTTTTTTTTTAATTAGATTTTTATTATTATTTTAGGTCATTAAATTCCAGGTGTTTCAAATATGTGTAATTTCATATTACAAAACCAAGATGTTATGTTTGATTTTATTGTGTGCTTTCAGATGAAAATGACACGTTGACAAATTTGGAGTCGAATTTCTTCCCGAGTGTGATTGATAACGAAGGAAGTAAGTTGATAACACTCTTCTCTTTTATTCATTTTCTCAGAAACATGTAAAAGATAAGACTATACGACTCCCTTACTTCATTTACATATTTGACTCTTAGTGTATTTCTCTGATATAACAGGAAGAAATACCATTCCCATAACAGTCAATACCAATAGAACCCTCATTATACCAATACCATTCTTATACAATACCATTCCCATATAGTCAATACCAATAGAACTCTCATTATACCAATACCAATCTTATACAATACCATTCCCATTACAGTCAATACCAATAAAACTCTCATTATACCAATATCATTCCTATACAATACCATTCTCATTATAGTCGATACCAATAGAACTCTCTTTATCATAGTACTATTCTTATACAATATCATTCTTATACGATACCATTCTCATTATACAATTTCCAAAATACAGCATTTATGATTTTCAGTCTTTTTTTTCATTTCGAGTATTTCTGTTCTGTTCTTATGTTTTATTCACATGTACCACCTTAATATTATTTCAGACAAACCCAGATTCACCGCACCCGCCAAAAATCGACGTCGAAATATTCAGCGCCCAGTCGGCAGTTCCGCACGTCTTCGTTGTAAAGCTACAGGAAAACCTAAGCCAGAGATCATTTGGTACAAAGACAACAAACAGATCGTTGAGGAGCGAAATAGCAATGATCATGTTCATACACAGAAATGGACGCTACATTTGAGCGATCTCCGTAACGAGGACTCTGGGAAATACACATGCAGGGTATATAACAGAGCTGGCATGATCAACTATACATATACAGTAGAAGTTATAGGTATGTTTGATTTCAAGTTCACACAAAATATTACTTTTATTTAAACTTTGATTAAGATTGGATATGCACTTTTGAAATAGTGTTATTGATTCCCTCAATTTTATCAAAACTTCAGTTACAGTAGAATAATTTGTTTTACATAGTTTGATTTAGTTCGAAAATATAGTATATAAAAGACCATGTTTCAGTGGATAACTTTTTGTTTTTTTTAGTTAAAAAACAGTTTATATCTAGAAAAACAATACCACAAGGTTTTAAGCTAATAATATTTGTTATATTTTTGTTGTGTATATTTCTATTATATTTTAGAAAGCCATATCACAAAGCCTGTAATATTAAGTACAAGACCCATGAACTCTACAGTTCTATATGGAGAGTCTATATCATTCCACTGTCAAGTGAAGAGCCGAATTACTCCCCTGGTGCAGGTACTTCCCATGTGACATCTATAAATGCAGTCTGAAACTAAATGCATGTTTCTAATTTAGACAAACATGATCTGGAATGGAATTTGAAAATAGATGTCTCTATTTCTTGGGCTGCAGTCTTGTTGTTTTGTAGCTCTTTGATTTCAGAATGAACGAATGCTCCCTCTATTGCCATAATATAGATAGATGTACATTGTACATGTAGAGAATGATTACTCCAAATTTTGACAGCATTTCAGATTCCGCAGAATTCCCACAGACACCTTATATTCCATAGACCCTTCCATAATCCATTCGATACATTGGATGAAACCCCCTTCAACCAAATCCAACTAATAATTAATTCATGTATTTGCAGAAAAAATAAAAATGAAACCTGAACTAATTCCTCCCCATCCTGTTAACATGACGGTCAAATATGGAGGCATGGCACAGTTTCAATGCAGAGTACGTAGTGACTCGGAGCCAACCATAAAGGTACACATGCTACTCTGAGATGTCTCAGCAAAATTCAGTTATTTCTAATTCAGAGGGGGGAGGGAGCTGCAATGCATGATGCATGACATTTCTCCCTTATTGACATGCATCAATACAGTCCATGTATTATATAACTAAGCCAATTGTATCATAGTTGTACAATCTTTCAGGCACAATTATCAATTTGCAATATATAGATTATTTTTTAAAAATGTGATTAGTTGTAATTGCATAAATGAACAATTACTTCCTACAACCTATAGTATAATGAATCTAGTTTATGCTCCAGTTTCTATGTTCAGTAAGAGAATACAGGATAATTCTTGAAAACAGATCCATTTATATAGTTACTTTTATCTTTTAGTGGCTAAAACAAGTGAGCACCAAATCTACCACACAACTGAATAACACAATCAAGGTTGACAATCAACTGTTTGCTGTCCTCAAAACGGGCGATGTCTGGTCCAGAAAAGATGGCACTTTCCTCAATAAACTCGTCATCACAAACGCGAGGATGGCAGATGCGGGGATGTACATATGTCTGGGTGCTAACACACTTGGTTATAGCTTCCGACAAGCTTTTCTCACTGTCAATATATCAGGTACTTGTATGTTATCAGCTTGCCTATTTCTTAATGTTCATTTACATTTTAAGTAAATATGGAGTTAGCATCATGAAGTATAAATGAGTAATTTATGCCAGGAAATATCGTAACCTTAATTAACCCCTTGACTACCTGGAGTGACGAGATTTCTCGTCACCTCTGAAATGACCTTGAAACCCAGAATGACGAGAAAATCCATCACAAAATTTTTCACTAAAATTGCTCTTATTTGAACAATTTTCATCCAATTTACACAAAAATTGTTTTAAAATGTGTAGAAATATCTGTCGTCTAATTTTATCAAGTTGAGCATCTGAAGTTGTATTAGGTATGTAGTATAATGTCAAAAGGTGGCAAAAATGAAAAAATCTCTGGTTTCAACCGATTTTAGAGCCTGGGATTCAGGAGGTTAACAGCACAGAATAATCAAGAACACTACTTGCATGTATAATTGATACAAGTAGATATATAAATTATATATGTGCTGTATACACTTTGCTTTGTATGCGACCAGAATTTTACACGATTTTCCCATTTTAATGTTTTCAGATTCTCAACTCCTGAAAGAGAAGAATGCGCGAAGTTCCTCCTCACACAGTGGCTTTAATCCCACGACCCTCACGCTCGTCATAGCTATCCCATCAGCCTGTGTTATCTTCTTCGTCATAACAACAGTTTATATACTACACAGAAAACATACATGTATGGCCAGTTCCAGTCAGAAACTAACAGTAACAGTTACTCGCACACCTAAGCACAACATTAGTGCTAATCACCTAGACAAGGACCAATTTAGGCCTTTGAAATCTCAATCTCCGCATGGCTATTCTCAAAAACGATCGGAAACTCCATACAGTGAGTCTCCATATAGTGAGCAATATGATGGAGTGCCGTACAGTGTATCTGAAGTACAGTACGGGAGTGACAGACAATATAGGGACTACCCTGAGGTAGCCCACCCTAGCCATGCTGGTGTATATCTCGCCCCAGGGTCAATATCAGATTACCCCGATTTGCAGTCAAACCCTGGGGACTACAGACACACAAACTCTATAGCATCAGACTATCGTGAAATTAACTCAGGACGGTCGGATCTGTCGTCACTGCCCCGTTTAGGAAACAATCACCATAACAACTATCTAAATGCCTGAGCTAGACACAGTTGACATCATATTTATGTTCTTGCTGTGTAAAGTGTTACTAGTGCATGTAGTCGAGGCTACTTTGTTGCTTAGCAACTATGTTGTCATTAGCAACCGTGATACTTGTTAGCAACCACTATGCTAGTTAACAAGCTTAAGTTGGTAAGCCAGGTGCTTTTAACCAGAGGTTCAACAGGGTCTTTCTCTGCCAAATACAGTGATAGTTGAGTTTATGTTACTACAGGCTGAGTTCATATTACTAAGGCTGAGTAAATGTTACAAAAACTGAGAGGTTACAAAGGCCGAGTGATAAATAAGACAAAGGTGCAAATCAAAATATTCTTGCAAAAGTAAATTGTACTGACACCTCTAGAAACTGACCATACATTGTGATATTATACAGAAAACATTAAAGAAATAATTGGGAGGGAGGGAGGGTACTGGTTTGGGGAAAGTGATTCCAGTTAGTCTTCCTACCTCCATCGTCACATATTTGAGAAAAGTAACATATTTGACTCTTGTCTCAATTCTTTGAATTGATATATTTTGGGACAATATTGCAATCAAAATGTTTATTTTTAAATTAGAAATTAACAAGCCACTACATAATTGTCTTCAGCATTACAATTTTTATTACCTCATTCTTGTATGATGTTACAAAATGTTTGCCAAACTCCGAAACATTTCATTGAATATGAGTCCAGTATTAGACTCGCAGTGAATGCCAGTTTGCAGAACAATCATGTCGTATTATTATTAAATCATGTTAGAGTAAAGTTAGTTGTAAAACAACAGAAATTATTGATAAATAACTTCAAGAACTCGTGTTTCGTGTTTTCTTGGGAAATAAGTGTAATTTGAAGTAAGTGCTTTGTTAAAGAAGGCACACTTTTTTTGTGACAGAGCTAGTTTATTTCCATTATACCATCCACATGAACAAGGGTTTAGTAGAATTTATGAATGGCCACCTTTCCCAAATTATGAAATATATTCAAGCCACCTTGGTTGTTTCAGCTATTGTTCTTGAGTGGATGGGCCTTAAATCAGAGAATCATAGAATATTATAAGATGTAGCTAATGTTAGTCAAGACAGTTAATGAAATACAGAGTCCAGGGCTTGGAGATTTATTTAAATTTTGAATTGTAAAAATGAAATTGTAAAGAATTTAGTTACTGATTTGTACATTTGTTGTAAAATAGTATAAATATGTTCTATATTGAACCTTATAATTGCACTGACAATTTCATGTATATAACATATGTGTAAATAATAATGACTCGATGTTATAGTTTATTTAAGTAGCTTACATATCCCATTGATGGCACTGTGGTCAGAATTGTCTTTAAGACATATAAAATATGATATTGTTGATTTTTGTATGATATTGTTGTTAAGTTGTAGTGTGGTAGCCACAGTGCTTTTATCAGTTTATAGAACAATAGTAAAAATTCAAATTTGTATATGATTAAATTTTTAAAAATATTTCACCAGTTATCACCAGATGTGGTAGAATATTTAAAATGACAATTGTGACCACAATGCTATTATTTGTGAATTTATTTTGCTGCAAGGTATCTGGGGAATATGGATGTCATTATGTGGTAGCATATAGTTAGTTTAGCACTGCAGTATTTAAAAATGCTGTTAATTGCATAATAACATTCATATAATCTTGGTATATACTGCAGTCTTTGTACTGTACTGTACATGGTATTGCCTGATTCTGTACTGTACTGTACCATATTTTACTTTCTAATGTACTCTCGTGTACATGTACACATGTGTTACACTGTTTGGGCAGCATAGTATATAAGTGTTGCCAAATAATCTTTTCAACTTATTCATTTTCATCTTTTCATAGTTATGACATTTCAGAAAACTAACTTTGTTGTCATAACCCAAGGAACTAACTTATGGCCAGGGTGCATGTTGGGAATTTTTCTGCATTCCCCAATTGATTTTTCAAATTGGAATCATTTGAAAAATCTTCTTACTAGTCTTTTCTAGGCACATAAGTGCACTCTTTTTGCAAAACTGGAAGATGGAGACAATGTGGAGAAGGAGTGATCCCTGTTTGAAAAATGTAACATGTGACTCACTTTAGGAATGCAGAAAAATTCCGAACATGCACCCTGGCCTTAAGGCCATCAAAGTTACACAAAAAATAATGAATATCTACACCTATTATTTCACAGGAATGCTTTTATTTCAATTTAAACTTAATAGAGTGGTGATTTTACAAGAAGTGACCACTGCGGCCTTCAATGAATATGTGTTGTCATGGAGGTGGTATCATTTGTTTAAATCTCCTTATCGCAAGCATTACATGTAGAGCGTTTCATTTTTTAGATTGGGAACAATTTGAAAATTGCCTCTTAACTATTAGTACAGTTACACATGGCAGCCAAATTGAATCAGGTAACCATGGTAACTTGAGCATATTGCACAGAGTAAGGCCAATTGTTTTGGTTTATATGTAGATACAGGTATATCTATTATGTATATTATTGTTTTCACTAAAATGTCAATAAAATATGAAGATGGTTTTCTATAACATTTTGTAATTCTGTTTCAACTTACAATTCCAATGGAGATGTGAACTACAGTAGAAATTAGATATTTGATGATATGAAGAATGGCTCTGGCTCTACAAAATGTTATTCCATTTTATCCTACACTTAGTGTACTAAATGTATAATAACATGAAAAAATAAATTTGATATTTATTGGCAAAATGAATATCCGGAGGATATCGTTACGATATACTCCGGGCGGAGGATATCGTGACGATATACTCCGGAAAACCCAATATGCGGAGGATATTGTGACGATATACTCCGCTTGTTGATTTCCCGCCAAATTGACTCTATTTGGCATGAAATTCATTTTACAATGATATTATACATTCAGTACACTCCTTGTAAGTGTAGGATAATAAGAACATCCTATGATTTTTTTCAGAATATCATTTTAATCTACTTGGTGATATTGATATATATGCACTCGTTCGCTTCGTTCTCTCGTGCAGATATCAATATCACCTCGTAGATAAAAATGATATTCCTCAAAATCATAGGATATCCTATAAATATCATGGTCCATGATGATATAGAACCCATATTTGATCATTTCTGGTAAATAACCCCAGTATCTATCCAATTTAAATTGACATGATATTTTTACACCCATTCTAAAGTATAATCACATTTATGCCAAATACTCATACTTACATGTATACCAACATGCTGCCATCTATTGTATTTTAGCTAGAGCTGGTGATAACATTTATATCATACATTGCATACTTAAACATATGCTGCCATCTATTTCTTACTGTATATAGGCCCAGATAGGTACTGACATCTAACAATGATAACAAAAGGTATAATGGCAGTACTTGTATTTAAATGAGTAGGACATAAAATATTAGGTTAAACCGTCAGCCGGGCATTGAAGTCTCGAGTGAGATAGAAAAACATGGGTGCGTTTCCTTAGTTTTCAAGACAGTGTCAGAGTTGAAGTTCATTTATTTTTTGGTGGGAATATGTATTTATTTATAGTTATTTCTTTAAGTCAACTTAACTTTCCGCGTATAACTATGAACGTTAAAACGGTGGGCATTTTGAATTAAGAAATATAAGACCTAAGAGCAGGTGTTATATCGACGAATACACCCCGCAGGGCTAGAAAATATTTATTTAATGATCCGCCATTGCTACGGCCCGCCGTTATGACGTCATACATTACTCGTATAGGGGTAGTTTTGCCGAATATTCCCCGGGTGGAATTTTGTTCACAGTTTATAGAAGGCGTGAATACAGTCATGTTCAAATGCTTTTTAGTGAAATATCTGAATTTCCTGGAGTTTCCTAGATTTTACTTACAGATTTACTTAAAGACAATGCAAGGTTACTCTTTTGCAAAGAAAAGAAATACGTAAATGTCATCATTCTTTATTTTGAACCAGAAGACAACATGGAATGGTTTAACCCTAATACGGACAAGGGCCCCCCTTCGGATTTTCCCCGGGACTTTTCTGCCGTGAAATGATATTTTTTGTAATCGGAGTAGCTACTGACAAAATACCACTTTTGGTGCAAAAATGGGGTGATTAGGGGCAAGTGGCTAGAGTTAGGATGGTGGAAATGCTGTTAATCATTTCGAAAATTGCTTGAAAATACCCAGCATATGTAAGAGAGTAACCCAGAGTAGAAACAGCGAACTTTACTAAATCAACATGCCAGCTCATGGTGACAAAGTAGTCACCTATCACGATTCACGACATTGCCCTTTAGTAAATATCATTGTCGTGAAATATCAACTGCATGTTATTGTTTCTAATAAAAACCTGGTACAACATAGCTTATACTTCGTATTATATTGTTGTCGACAATTGATCAAGACTAACCAAACCTCAAACTCAGTTGCCAGTAAAGAATTACATCAGATTCAACACAAGTAGCAGTTAGAAGATGAGGGTTAGCATCACTTGCAGTTTGGTTATTGTCGCTATAATATGTTGCTTTGCTACGTACTCCATTGGTGAGGAATGCTGTTCTAGGTGCTGCAATCAGTGTCACGTAGGTAGACTTTCAATTAAACATACAAAACTTCGAATTACTCCACATTTGGCAGTAATCAGTGTCAGGTAGGTAGACTTTCAATTAAACATACAAAACTTCGAATTACTCCACACTTGGCAGTAATCAGTGTCAGGTAGGTAGACTTTCAATTAAAAATGCAAAACTTCGAATTACTCCACATTTGACACTAACCAGTGAAAGGTAGGTAGACTTTCAATTAAACATATAAAACTTCGAATTATTCCACACTTGGCAGTAAGGTACCGGCAGTAATCAGTGTCAGGGAGGTAGACTTTCAATTAAACATACAAAACTTCGAATTACTCCACATTTGGCAGTACATGACTGAGTTTTGTAAATTGAGAGAACTAACATTTTTGTATTAGTTGACTAAAGGATGAAAGATTTATTTTAGTTAAAGGTTATAAGGATTTTTGAAGATCAGCCTGGTCCCTATCATGTTGATATATATTTCAGGCTGGTTGTAACTCAAAGGCAGAGAAATCCCATGTAAAGACTACGTACATAAGATGGGGGAGAACATCCTGCCCAGATGGAGCAGCTATTGTCTATGCAGGTTAGCTTGAACTCAGGAAACAAACCAATTTAGGTTCATTTACGTTGCATTTGATTTCAAATAAAAGTTTTCTCTTGGTCCACATGTCCATTATGTACTGAAAGAAAGCCTATCATTCTGACCCAATTTTTTACCTCAACGTATTGAGATTCTCGCCAAGTTTTGGATCCTCGCTATGCCTCTATGCTAGTTTCTGCTTA